GGCGTAAACATGGCGGATGGCAAGTAAACGCATGAGAAAAGTGACGCGAAGTGAGTTTGCCGCGACGGTATCATTAATCAAAGTTGCGCCCGAGTGCGAGCCGGGGCAAAAGGTTGGAAATTATCGAACTTGCCGAGCAAGAGGGCCGACAGCATCGTTTGCGGTATCGACACGTCCATCGATCCCGTTCTGCGAGGAGAGCGAAACAATTTGGCGAACGTAACGCGATCGCGTTACGAGGCCTCGCCGTTTTCTAATCGGATCACGCTGGATGTCTGCTTCGAGGTCTATCCCTGGTACAGTGACTGGGTGAGAGAGAGAGACTCGGCGCGAAAAGAATCACCTACGACGCCAAGAGTACCAACGCGTAGAGCAGGTGTGACACACTCTCGAGGCCGAGGCGCGCAGCGTTCAACGTTTCACAGCTACTTGCCGTGCGACGCTTCCTTACGACCGGTAGAGAGCACACGTACTTTCGTAAATGCGTTTGCATGCGGTGCCAGATGATGCACGGCGACTCGCACGATTATGTGTATATCGGTGTATTCTTACCAAGAGATGACTCTTGTGTGGACGATTTATTAGACCTTGGAACGCATCACGTGGTTGTTTCTCGTTGTAATTTTGCATGTTGTTGTTGTTATTTATTGTATTCTGTCCCAAAGACTGGAATGACTGCCTGCCTCGCGTTTCGTTTATCCCGAAGCATGCCCTCCTTAGATGTATTTGTGCCTGCGGAACGTCAGGGTACATCATTTTCATCAATTTTATGCGATGCGTACGCGATTTCCTTGCGTTTCCCATATTATATATATATTTTTAGTACGTTTTTCACAGTAATCGATAGCCATTTAATACGTGTAAAAGCTGTTTTTCTTTTTTTATTCAGATCAATATTTATCTCGCCGACGATTTGACATTTTGTCGCATTGCGCTTTGCATTCGGCTTGTGCGCGATTTTCGTTTGCCGAGAAATAAAATGCGGAAAGGAAAGCAAAATGTAATGGCGTAAAGCGACAAACTGCGAAGTAGCTTCGTGAAATAGGGCGTAGTTGTATAAAGCGCAGTCGCGTAGACTCTTTTCGCACGAAGCAATTTTCAGTGATGCTACGTCTGTCTCCGCGGAAAATTGTTCGAAAGTAGAGGGCTGTATAAATGAGAACTTTCAGACGGTGAGCCGTCTTAAGTGCACAGCGATGCAACCTGAAACTGATTCGTGCAAAAAGGCGCTTATTAGACGTCGTCGCATTTAATGTCTGATCGTGTATACCGGTGTTGTTTCACTCAACTTGAGCGATCAAAGATATATTAGTGCCGGCATGTGTCTGCCGTAAAAAGAAGAATGATATTTTACTTTGATATGTATCGGTTTATCGATTTAATTTCACCATTTTTCGATTCCTTGGCAAAACCTTATCGAAAGGCAGCCAAGCGTCCAGCGATGATTACACATAGATGATTCAAGTTTTACGATAATTATTGCATATTCTCTTTTCGTTGGTTTCATTTCTGATACTAGTATTTGCGAACGAATAGCTGTTACATTAATAATTCAACTTGCCTGGACGTTCTTTCATCACGCAATCAACACTCAGATATGGAAATTTTCATAATGCTGCAGTTTTGCAGAAGGTTACGTTTGTCACAGACACGACAGCTTTGGCATGTGTGAATGTATTAAACGCAAGCATTTCAAGATTTCGAATTTATTTTATTTTTTTTTTGTACATGTCACTTACAAAATTACATGGGTGATCACATGCTGATCGTTAGGTACGTTTCCTCCAAGTAAGCTTCCGATAAGGAATAATTGTTTCCCCGCAATACGACATTTATACTTTCGGTCTTGAAACTTTGGAGCGTCGACGAAGGAAGAGAGGGAGTGATCAAAGTCAAATGTCTATTGTGCACATCCCGTCTTCTCTTTGCCGAGCATCCTCACTCGGTTAACATCGAATTAGTTTTTTTTCTTCTCGTTTGTCCGCCAGCTCGTCGCGCTTCTCGTATTCTCGCCCTTTTTCCTACTTTGGCGAGTATCAACTTCTCTCTTTCTCTCTTCTTCCTCATCTCGTTTCTTTCTCTCTCTCTCTCTCTCTCTCTCTCTCTTTCTCTCTCTGCCTCTGGCACGAACTAGTCGAGGCAATAAGATGAGAGTACGAGAGTACGCCACCTGTTTCCAAGTGTTATGAGACTTTCGGTCACGCCTGTGTCTCTTCACGTACACTTGGTAACTACATATGTAACACACAGCGCGGACACGGGAACGCCGCACATTTAGAATCTCCCGCAACCTTCGCTGCACCTCCGTTAACACCAACTTCCGCCCATCTACCCCATCGTCACCGCACTTTACTCCCGTAGTAGAATTCCCGAGATTATGTTGTGTGTGCGCGCGCCAGAAGCTCCCTTGTGACCGGAACTTTCTACTTCCGACGTAATCACTGCCAACTGTTCCGGGAAGAATCTTGATTAACTTTTGTTGGCGATCATCGGCCAGATTCGTTTTCCACCTCTTGTCTTTTCCGTTTCCCGTTTCGATGTTCCTCGCTTTAATTTCACTTGGGAAGGAAATATCCGTCAGCGCTAGAAATTCGAAATGCGTAAGCGGAAACGTTGGAGGTGTGCGTGTGTGTATGTGTGCTGTGTGTCTTTAAACGCAGGTAAGACTTCCGAGTTTAAGATGTCGCGCACGCACAGCTGTTCTCGTAACATTCAGCGAAGTCGTCCTACCGGGGGAGCATGGAACAAGTATCGATCGTCGCGCAGTTGTAACCAGCTGTGCGCACGTATTTATCGCCGGTGTCTAAAATCTTGAGCCTGATTTATTCTCCGCGAGATATATATATATATATATATATATATATATATATATATATATATATACGCGTTTCCCTTGAGAGATCGCACTTAGCAATTTTTTCCTATTTATCATGTCGCGTAACCAGTTTGCAGCGAGATCATTTCGACGACAACGTTGCGTTAAGTTCCAGCAACAGCCATTTTTCTTATCGCCCGTAATTTTCTTCCGAGGACACGTAATCCACTTTTAACGTACTTTTTTTAATAACTTTCCAAACGACGTACACAAACGTTTAGCCCCGACCTTTGTCCGATATCTTGTTTCTATTTGTGTCTCCCCCTCGCTATCGAGAAACAATTCCGAGATAATCGCGAGAGGTCGCCGAGAACTTCACCCTCTCTCGCGATGCTCGTCGTGGAACGTTCAATTTTTCGACGAGAGGGCTTCCATCCGTGCGCTTTGCCGTTATCTCGGTGCACCACTTACACAATGGGGCATTTATCCATCGACTTAGCCCGCGTATATAAGTTACCGCCATCGTAGCGATAGTAATACGCTTCTCTGTATGAACTACCGTAATGCCGAGTGGAACAAAGCATAGCGGCAGCGGCGAACGGATGGAGAAACTTAATCTTCCGGCGAACGCGTTCCGCAATGTAATGAATGCGAATAATACAGAAACGGTAAAAGGTACTTTCTCCCGTTATCAGAGTCTCTTATCGCGGTCGCCTGTAAATTAGAAACTTGTTGTATTACCGCCGCGTTTTGCGGGGCGGATCGCACGAGGGAGGAAGAAGAAAAAAAGAGACCGGGTAGTAACGAGGTTTATTTTCGCGAAAAAAATACGATAAACGCACAAATCATCGATACCGAGAGGGAGAGATACCATGCATCTCTCTTTCGTTTTCACCCCCCGACGATATTCATCTTTGATACGAGAGCGAGCGATGATCGTTTTACGCGCATCGGTAGGAAAAAATAAAGTTTCCGGACGCGTACGTTCGGAAATAAAAGACACGATTTATTATGCGATATATTTCGCGAGCTCGCGTACGAACCGTGTGTAAACCCGACGTGTGTGGAGAGTAGTGGGACATCACGTGTTTACATTCTTTTTTTACGCGCGAAAGAGTAATTAGAACAAGCCAAGGCCTTTGCATGTCAAACCGAGAGGAGGAAGGAGATTATCGATTCGATATTCGCAGGAATAAACGTACAGATAAAAACAAACACACGTTACACATTCTCGATACGTTACGTAATCGGGGAATTAATGTCGTCAAATAATTGCTCGCGTTTTTATTTCTCGCGAGGAAGGCGCGTTAATTTGCGAGATACTTTTTCCAATTGAAAATTACAGGATCGAAAATATTCGACGTACAGATTTATCGTCATGTACGACGCGATAACTCCTTCGCGTGTAACTCACCGTTTTTTGTTTTTCACGCGCGGCACTTTTTGTCGCGTCTGATTAAAGACTCGCACGAGCGCGTCGGATTTTGAGAGCTGGGTTAAACGCGACCGATTTGCGGTCGGCTATTCGTCAGTCGATGGCGCGCTTTCGATAGCGGCTAATCGCGGGCGAAAAAGCGGGTGCAAACTTTATTTCGCGCTCGATGGCCACTACAATGTAACCCTCCTCCTCCCCGATCCTTCCCCCTCCCACGCAATTCGCGATCGCATACCTCCACCCGGCCGTGAAAAAAAAGTATAAAGCAGACTGCGTATCTCTGCAGGGGTGTCAAACGGGAATATTTTTGTTTTGCGAATCCGATCGGAGTTTCGGGCAAAAACGTTTGCAATTATAAGCAAATATACGCGCGTATCGATCGCGCCTCGAATCGAACGCTCGGAACCGACCGTCGCGAATTCGAGAGATTTGTTTATTATCGGTCTTTATTTTCGCGAATGCCATATCTTTATGATATACGCAACAAGACAGAGGAGACACGTACGAGAAATATCGACACCGATTTATCGTCGCGACAAACAACTCGACTCGCGAAAGAAGGGATATCGACGATAAAATTCGCGTCGACGCGTTTGACACCCCGAGAAGATAGTCGATTCTCATCGCACCTTTCTCGCCCTCATGTGATATCTACTGTAACAATATCGTCTGTCACTCATTAAAAGTTCAGTAGTTGTTTCTTTTTGTTCTTCTATGATTTCTTATGATTTATATATGTTTTTGTTACAGGGGTCCCGCGAACATTTTCGGCTAGGCCTTACCGAGGAGGTTGGTTCGTTTGTTTGGTTTGCAATTAGGATTAGTCAGTAGATTTTTTTCTCTAAAAGCCCTAGTCCTTTTCCTTTTTCTTTCTTCTTCTATCTCACGCGTATAGACTTCGCTTTTACATACATATAATATATATACTCGTCTATCTTTCCCCTGTATACTTATTACTTCTATCTATCTATCTATATCTATCTCTATATTATATATATATATATACATATCTATCTATCTATATATCTCTCTCTCTCTCTCTGTCTTTCACTATTTACCTTTTCCTTTATTCTCTTGATGCCTCGATCGTCGCTCGATTAACCATGCTAACACCAATCACCACCTTTGATCGTTACTAATCGTAGCATATATATCTATACATACGTACATGCAGACTCGATCCTTGCATATGTGTACTTAGACTCACACGTATCAAGTTGTATGTATACGCATATATATGGATATGTGTATATCCGATTTATTATATATATCGATTGATTTTTCGTATCAAACAGTGTGTGTGACGCCACCACCACTTCGACTCGATTGACACCGATTGACTTGTCTTCTCTTTTTTCTTCTTTTTTTCTTTTTTTTTCCTTTTTTTTTTTTCTTTTTGATCGAAGATTCGTATATCTCTAGTTTTTAGTTGATCGATGTTTAGATTTGTGATGAATTACGTCCTTATCTGTGCGTGCCTTGTCAATGCGCGCGTCTCCCGCCCCCGCCCGCCCGACCTTCTCCCCTTTTGTGTATGTACGTGTTCGTGTCGTTGCGTAGGGATGACCCGTAAATCCCGTCTGTTTGATCGTTCCATTTACTGATACTCGATATTTAGCTGTAATGATGAACATTAGATAGCCGATTGGATATTTAGATTTTAATGTTTCTCGAGAACGAGACTGCACAATACCAAAGAGACAATACACTTGTCCGTATGCTGCTTTGAAACCATTCCATTTGAACGAACCATTTACTATCTCTACCTCTGTGTATCTCTGGATTGAGATACATACTACTACTCGAGAAACGCGACTATAACGAGCTCGCCGCCTAAATATTTTTATCATAATGCATGAGAACTAATATTTTATTCATCAGGTGTCGAATGAACTATGGTGAAGCTCGATCAAGAAGGACGGCCGTCTTCCTACTCTGCGGTAAGATACGCGATCATGATAATAGAAACGTTTTATTTCTGTACCTTGCGCTTCGTTAACGAAGAATAAAAGCGTGACGATTCTCTTGCACGTACGATGTAACACGCTTTCTTTTCGAAAAGCGTTATTTTTACCGAGAGAAAAAAACTTGCGGGCATCAGTAGCAATGCCGTATTGTTCAACGAACGTGATAAAAACTTTATATTTGCGGCCATTAACATATTCGTCTCGTTTTACATATTATATACATGTTTTCGGTGCAAATTTTTTACACTCGAAGATTACAATTTTTCCAGATTAATTGTAATTTGCCCCCCGCGACGATCCTTTCAACGAACCAATCACACGACTCGGGCTACGCCTGTCGATCGCATTCGAGCGATTGAACGAATTAATGATCTAGAATGCATCAAACCGCAATCTTGAAGTCGATCTCTGAGACTACCGGTAAAAAGCGTAGCGAAAACAAAAGGGAAAAAACGACGGGGATTTTTTTTTCTCAACCAGAATAACGTCTCGAGCAGCACGTTGTCTTGAGAGTCGAGAACGATATTCCATCTGCGATATTCCATCGATGGCGTCGTCGACGAAAACGTTGTACTCGACGTCCCCTGCAACAACGGCGTTTTCGCGATGCAGCCGGAATTTCATCACGCTTGAGAGACGCAAAGTGTTTTATCTCTGTTTGGAAAAAGATTCAAATTGCGGCACTGCGATCTTGCTCTCCGCTCGGAGCGAAATTGTACGAGATACCGTCTGAACGCGCAATTTTCGCGTTTCGAGGGATTTTTGCTACGTCAATTCAACAGATGCGTTAAATTGAGTCTACCTGGATATGAATTTTGATTCGAATCCCCCGGAGTTTGCTAATTCGTACGATACATTTTTTTTATTTATACTGCATATTGGGCACAAAATACGATTCGATAGAAATTGTAATGAAATTTTTCTAGCCCGTCAGAATTTTATTAGCCGCCGTGTTACCTGAACAAATGTTTTATCGTCGCGTGGAATTCTTTCGGCGGTGATTTAAAATTTCGCGCAATAACCGCGTGAAAAGGAGTAAGGGGGGAGGAAGGAGAAAGGGAGGAAAGACGGAGGAGGGTGGGAATCCGTTTCTCGCTCCCGGTAATAATGCCGCCGACTCGATTCAGAATTTTGAGATAATTTCGCGCTGGTGCAAAGGTCAGAATAATAGTCTGTCGCTGAATATTAAACGTCATTAAATTACGGGTGGCCGCTTTTGGATTACCCCTCCGCTTACGCTTATAAGCCGCCTCGGTTTTACGAGCTAAGACGTACGGCGACGTACAATGATGGCAGGATGGAGATTGGGCCGAAAGGAAGGACGGCAGACGGATCGAGGAGGCGGATTATTCCGGTACTTAAAATATGTTCTCTCCGCGCGATATTCCGACGATACTACGGCTACGAGACAGATATGAATATCGCGGATTTAGGTTTTTCTCGTCGCGCGAAATGTAGCGCGCGACTTTCCATAGTCGTGTCGCGGTGGCCTTTAATAATCAAGCGAGCACGTAATTGTCATGCGTCATCGCTATACGAGTGCATTTTGGAATTAGACAGGAAATTGGCAGTAATTAATACGATCATACGTGAAATTAGATGTATAACTGGTGGATAATTGTATTTTATTGTACCGCGTAATGTAATTGCAATATAATTTGCGTAACAGCGCGTTTGTACTTTTGGTTGGTTTTGGCAAATTATCTATGTTCGCTTTTCTATTAACTTATTTATTAATTAAATCGTGCGATTTAATTGAAGCGCGAATTGTAATTAGATTTTGTAATAGTGGATTATGATGTATACGTTCACATTTACTTAATTTCATAGTATTATTTCATAGTGTTACATGTTATAGGAATGCATCACTTTTACAATTCTTTTAACAAACATGTATTTAATATGTATTCTTTTAATATTATATTTTTAATATGTATTTTTATAATATTACGATATATATCTTGCAATTCGTAATCATTTTATAATTGATATAATCGAAATGTCAAAATTATTAAAGTCGAAAATAGATCATTTTATAATCGATTTGATAGTGAATTCTAAGCCTTATATTTTTATCAAAGAATAGCAAATCTATTTCCAAAAAAATTTCCAAAATGTCATCTAAACTATCGAAATGCCAAAAATTATTAAAAATTATTAAAGTCCAAAATAGATGTATATATCTGAAATCGTTGAACTCCAACAATTTCGATAGTTTAGATGATATTTTGGAAATTTTTTTTGGAAATAGATTTGTTATATATATTTCTTTGATAAAAATATAAGGCTTAGAATTCACTATCAAATCGATTATAAAATGATCTATTTTCGACTTTAATAATTTTGATATTTCGATAGTTTAGATGATATTTTGGAAATTTTTTTGGAAATAGATTCGCTATTCTTCGATAAAAATATAAGGCTTAGAATTCACTATCAAATCGATCGATCAGATCTCGATGCTAAATATTTCTGTTATATATAATAAATCTTGAAAAAATAATTAAATTAATAAATTAATAAAAATTAATAAATTATGTGACGAAATATTTATTTGATTATTATTAACATAGGAAACTTTGAAGAGAGTTTCCGCAGGGAAATATGCACGAGCGTTATTAATTTATCAATATCGAATATTATTATTCAGAGACGAAGATAATCGAATCTTCTTTATCTCACCGAGTCGGTTACAAAAAGAGAGCAGCGTTTCTCACTCCCTACAGAGTAAAAATAAATTTATCGATGAAACGAGTGTTCCTTTTACCAAAACAACCGCCACATACATGAAATTGGAAAAAAGAAAGGGAGACGAAGAAGAGTTCTCTCTCTCATTATAGAATTATTCGTCCTCGACGGGGACACACCTGCGTCCGAATGTTGGCTCCGTTTTGTTTCAAATATCGGAGGATAACTGCCGGTTCCCGAAAACGTACGGACTTGACATCTCCCGAAACTCCGCAGCTACTCCTGTACTCGCGTACGTCGCGCGGTGTAACTTCCTCGATGAAAACTGCATTAGCGGAGTTTCGGGGACGAGCGGGGGCGGCTCACAACCTCGGACAGGTGCAGCGGCACGCATCGCGCGCACACGCGATCGCGACACGTGTTGTATGCGCGCGACGTTAAGGATGAAGGCGGAACATCGGCAGACAACACACGACGGTCTCCCCTTCTCTCTCTCTCTCTCTCTCTCTCTGCATTGTTTTGGCGGGCGAAATGCAACCCCCGTCGGAGCGAAATTCCTGTCAACTCCGTTCGTCGCCGCGTGCCGAGTTGAATAATCCCTCGGCCGTGTATTATCTCGTGTACGAAGTCCATGAGCGATAAGCGAGCCTAATTTAAGGACGCGTAACGTGTGCGTTCGAGCGCGCGAGGATATTAAATTGGCGCGCCAGCCCCGCTCTCTACGGTGACTTTATAGGAATGCCTGCGAGAATACATTTTTTTTCTAATGAAGTGAATGTTATGAAATGCATAACGTCATGTAACGTACGCGCTACAATAGACATTCGTAATGTGGCGCGACATGAAATTTTCAAGCAATATTACGCTCGTGCAAAATTTCGTTACCGCCGTGAATATGTAGCGTGCACATTGAATAAATATAAAAGAGAAGCGATGCTTTATTGTACTAAATTAACTTTTAAGTGTGAAGCGTGACATGCCCATAAGTTTAAAAATGCAGCTGACAAATGTTGATTTTGTCACGTGGCCAACGTGTAATAAAAAGCATAAAATATCGAGTGAACTTTTTTCAGTAAAAAGTAATTATATTGGATGAATTATATTGGAAATTAATGTCATTTTTTTCTCTCGTGAAAATCGAGGTACTTTATGAAACATTATATTTTTATAGAACGGTA